GACGCTTTAACCCCCAGCTCACAGAACTCAGCATGGCCTATGCCAGGCTTTTGCAAAGATGTACATAGAAGTTTCCTGCTTGGCAGCAACCCACAGAGAACTTAAAACAAATACTCCATCTAATTAAAGTTAACTTAAATCCATTACTCAGTTAATTACATAAGGAGACATTCACCCTTAGAAAAAAAAAAAAAATATAATCTAGCAAAAAGTAAATGTGAGCATATTTAACACCTTTTTAAAGGTGCTAAAATCAGTTCTAAGGGACAGGTTAGCAGACAACTACCCTCCCTGCTTTACTGTGGGAAACCACTGCTGTCCCTGGGTTCCCAGAGGCTCAGACTGCCCTGAAGCCCACATGTGATTTCATTTATGTAATTAGGAGCAAGCACCATCAGCAGTGATACTATTTGTGAAGTCAGGGCAAGTATGAAAAGCTCCCAGGAGTGATACTGCAGAGCCCATGCTGGGTGGATGCCATGTGCATGAGAGGTGGCAGGTCCTCAGCCCTGCAACCACGCTCACCTGAGCCCCTCTGACAAGAGCAAACAAAGGTGTGTTCACATTTCCACTGGCCTGGCTCACACCCAGCACTGCCTGGATTAGGCTGCTCAAACAGTTACAGTAGATGCAAGTTTGCCCAAATTCCTCCTCTTCACCCCATTCTGGCTGGCATTTTCACATAGGAAGCCACACACCTTGCACCTGATTTTAGTCAGAGCAAACTAACAACAAATCTCTGTGGACTGAGATCTGGGTGTCAAGAACAGAGTAACACACAGGAAAAATAATTCCTAAGTGATGAGCAGAAACAGCCTTCTCATTGTTCCTGTGCAACTCCCCTGATGCTGTGGCTCTTCCCCACCGCCCAGAGCTCACCCTCTCAGTCGGGTGGTCAGGCTGGGAAGGCCACTGCTCAGGACACAGCACAAGAGAGGACCAAGAGTGCTGATGCACCTCCCTCATGCATCTCCTGAGAATGACACAGGGCTGCTCTGCTAGCTCAGTAGCACCAGGACACCACGCCCCATGGACTGCTGTGGGAAGTGCTTCTGCTGTCTGCCCTGCCAGAGGAAACCCAGCTTTTCACTCCATGCAGCTATTTCAGCCAAGCATCCTTGTTTGGGAGGACTTGCATCCTATTCCAGCTCTGGCTATGTGCTGCCAATTTAATTTCTGCTGCAATTATTCTCCCACCCACACACTTGATCTAATGTCAATTAGCACTGACAGGGTCTCCAAAGCCCACATTTCCAGCCCCCCTGGGCCAGAGAGCTGCCAATTTTGGCAGCTTGGGAATGAACAACAAAACAAACATCCTCTCTTTTTATTAGCACTGCATGGCAGTATTTTGACTAGCAAGCTCATGCTACAGGAAGCCAATAACAGTGGGATCTCCAGAAACTGATGGATGGGTGCTCCCACTCCCCCTGTCTGCTGGGGAGGAGTGGCTGGGACCAGGGCCCACAAGGACACCAACACCATGCCAGCTGAGCCTGGGAATCCCAACATGTCAGCAAGGATGTCATGTCTTCATGATGGAAATCTGGACTGCTGGCTGGAAAGCTCTGAGCTGTCCCCAGCATCCCACAGGTCCCACCTCCACCCATCTCTGGGCCCAACAGACAGGCAGCCATTCTACACGTAGCAAGTCTGAACATCACTGCATTTGTGGCCTCCTCTGTATGTCCTTCCTGTTAAGGACAGACTTGTCCAGCAAAACCAACTGATAATCAAAGTCTGCTTAAAAAAAAAAGTTATTTTTCCCAGAAGTTACTCACTCATCCTGTTCAGTGCTGTTCCTGCTAATTGTGAAAAATCAGCTCTCCGGTTCAGCTTCTTCAGTTTGAGGGCAGCTATTCCCCACAGTCATGGCAATAATCAAAGTTTTAATAACGAGGATTGATCACATTCTTGGACTCTGAGTAGTGGTTTACCAGAAAGCTCAACTGAGAAACCACAACAGATTTAGAAAAAGGGGAGAGGAAAATTCACCAGCTACTCCACACCTTCCAAGCTCTCTTGCACAGAAGGTAACTACAAAATTTCATTGCCTTCAACACAAAGATTACACCTAAAAAGCTAAATTGCAATAACAGAAATACAGATTTTCCTACAAATCACTCAGACTGAGGCACTCTGCTTATGCTCACGTTTCAGGCAAGAGTTACTGTAGTCGTAAGTCAAGATTTTCAACAGATCTTTGCCCAGTATGATGAAAAAGCATATAGAGTAAAACCTGGAGGAAGAAAGGATATGTGCTCCACATTACTGCAAAGGCCACTTGGGGTAAACTCTCAAAATCTTTTTCAGGGACAAACCCCCAACCTCTTTTTGTGATTTGAGGGCAGAATTCCAGCAGAAATTTTTTCCTGTGTTTCAAAGCAGATTGCTTTTTTCCAGATGCAAGGAAGTGCACCTAAAGGTTGCACATATTGAGCCAAGTTATTACTTCACAATGAAATTTTTCCTTCTCACAATCTAGTACGGGCCCTTGCCAGAGGGGCTGAATGAACACGGCACAGGACAGCCCTGGGTCACCTGGCACTGCTCCACAGGGATCCCAGCCATGCCTGGGAGCTCTGCTCCCAGGGGATTGGTACCTGCAGCAAAGACTGGCTCTCTCTGGGTGCTGATGGTCACCCTCAGCCTCACACAGGTCAGAGGACATCAGTGATAACACTTGGGTTAGCACAGCTGCTGTTCCAGGCTGTCAGCATGAACCACACTGGAGGCACAGGTGACGTGGAGAGAAGAGTCAACCAACACATCTTGGGTGCAAGCACAGCAACCTGGAAGTGTGTGTGGAAATCCTTCACTTCCTCTCTGGGAAACCCAGAAAGCCACTAAGGAAGACAACAGGACACAGGCACCAAAAAAAAGGAGCAAGAGCAGGAATCTGCTGCCTGTACTTGTGTACCCTTGTTCACACACCTCTCTCAGTGCCCTACCACAAACACATCTGCTTTACACACCTCCTCCCCAGATTTACGTATTTTCAGTGTAGGTCTGGATTCAGAATAGTGCATCCCTACCCCCTTCATTATATTCTATTAAACTGTCTAATTTTTAAAAAGATCCATATGTAACATATATTAATAGTCAGATTCAAATTCAATCTGCATTAAACCTCAGGAAGTTGTATCTGGCAGTGGAACTGCTGCACATTTGTTCCTCATTTAATATTATTCATAGGTAAAGCCTAGTAAGAAAAAATATCTGTCAGAAAAGATGGCTGTAATTGATAAATGAAGCAAACATGGCCAGAATGCAAGGCCCAAGCTCACACACCAGCCTGTGCTGTGAGTCAGGGCAGGAAAGACAAACAGCCCCACGTGTTGCTGGCATGTGGTGCTGAGGCAGCTCTGCTGGTGCTGCGCCTCTGCCCGCTGTCCTGGGCAGAAATGCAGAATATCTGCAAATTCCACATCGCTGGAATGGCCAACAGACCCCATGGCCTCACACTCTGGTCCACTTCTCATGGAGTTTGGGGGATCTCACCCTCATTCTGAGCACTCGGTGGGCTCTGCTGCCAGTACTTCCTCCCCATTCCTCACTGAAGGAGACTCCACTCCTTACAGCATCATCCCCTCTCTCCCACCTTTGCAGCTCTTGTATTCCTTCTGAACTGAGCCAGGGAGGGCTGAGGAGGCACCCTGGAACCCTCATCAGCACACTCTGAAAGCCTCTCTGGAAAGGAGCAATTGAGCTAAACCAGCAGATCCTGCACGCAGGCATTTTGTAAGGGCTGGAGAAAAAGCATGGAACAGCATATGACATAAACCACCTCTGTGGAGGAGACAGCCATCTGAGCAATATTTAACACTCAGCATCAGCCAAAGGGAGCTCGCATGCTTTGGGGGCAAGCTCAGGGGATTCTGACAGCCTGAACTTTGATGTTCTGAAGGCTGTGGGCCTCTATCTCTACCCTGGGAGGGGTGGCCAACCTACAGCAGTGAGATGCCCCAGCTGGCTCAAGCCCTGCCATCCAGGTGCCCTGGGAAAGCTGGCAGCATGTGCACCAGCTCAGCACACATTCAAGGGGGAGCCAGGCAGCAGGAGCTGTCCTCTGCCTATCCTCCTGGTCTCCTCCTTGTTCCCCAGATATCTCCACAACATGGACCAGAGCGTGCAAAAATTGACAATCCAGTACCTTATAAGCAGAGAGGGAGAAGAGAAACCCCATTTCTCTTTCCATCAAGAAGCCAAAGGAGAATGAAAGTCACCTCTGACCTTGCAAACAAGTCATTAGAGATGGGTAGGAAAGATGGGGAGACCTGCTCAGCTCCATCCACCACCTGGCTGCTGCAGGAGACGGGGTAGTAAGGCAGGGCAGGATACAGGTAGAAGGCTCCAGGGAACAGAGCTGAGGACAGAGGGAAGAGAGAAGCTGCAAAACAGAGAGAAGGAGTGAGAGAGGGAAAAAAAAAAAACCAAAGGAAAAAGATGAGAACATTACAAAAAAAAGAAATCCACCATCATGGGAGGTGAATCACTGTCACAGGATTGGGAGGGTGCAGCAGATTTTGGAAGCAGCCAAAGTAGAGGCACATCAGCTGAGGCAGATGCAGACAGACCCTGGACGTGCTGTACCTTGGGAAGGGCAGGCACTGGACAGTCAGAGGACTCCCAAGAGCTCCATCCAAAATAACACTAACTCTGAGCTTGGTCACGGCCTCATGGGGTCAGTGCTGGATGCCACCCTCCACGTGCTGCCCAGCCATCCTGTGTCCCCAGCAGGCTGATCCAGCAAAGCCTGGCTTGGCTGGAAGGCAGTGACACAGATGGGATTGTGCCAGATCTGCTCAGGATCCGGCTCACCATGGGAACCAGCCCAAGAAAAGCACAGATAGACCTGCAGAGAACTTTAAAACCACACATGGAAACTCCTTCACTTCTGGAAGGAGCACAGGGCTTTCCAGCCTCCAGACATGGATGTCCTCTCCTCAAAAGCAAGTTGGGAGAGCAGCAGATGTGGGGCAGGGCTGCAGCTGCCATACCTGTGGGTCCGGCTCGATGTTGATGCGGTATGCTTGAGCCTTGCCATCTTCCAGGACAGGGGGAGACCAGGTCTTCCCTTCAGATCTGCAGTGGGAAATTAAGTAAACACTACTTAATTTGCTTTTAAGAAAGCCCAAACCAAAGTGCTCCCCCCCCATACAAACAAAACCCAGAAAAATCCCAGAGAACGAAACAGGCTCTTTAAACAAAACAAAAAAGCAATTAAACAAATTAAAAAAAAAAAAGCCAAAACAAACAAGCCAAAAAAAAAAACCCACAAATATATATATAGCATCTATTAATTCCCTGGCAGGTTTATATTGTATTTGCAATTTGCAGTCCAAAATTATCCTCAGAAACATTACAATGATAAATAGAGAAGATGACAGTTTTATCCTATTAAAGCTCAAAACCATCCTTGAACTATAAGGCTCTGTCTCAGTTTGGGGTTAAAGAAACAAACTTATTTTGGTCAAGACATCAGAATACAGACTCTTGGTGGCTCCTGTTTTGCATATTCCTGGCTTTGTGCCTTTATTCTGGCCCTGAATCCAGAAAGTATTCTGATTACACATGTGTATAGATATATGCATACATATATACATGCAATCCCTGGCAGGCCTGTGTACTAGACCACATCAGGAATTCTATAAACACCTTTCAGGGAGAAGGCTTTCACCATCCTGTATGAATCATCCTGACCCTTTCAACAGTTGCCAGATAGAAAAAGCCCTAAAAATACAGTTTCCATTCCCAAATGCATCTTCAGTCCTGCCAAGGCAGAGCAGAATACTGTCACTGTCCAAAGATTTTCCATGTGCCTGATAATTTTTTCCCCACAAAGGCATCTGGGGACATGGCTGGAATGTGATCTCCAGCATAGATCTCCAGCACTTTGGGTATGAGGGAGTCACAGGGGCCTGAGCAGGGTCCAGCAGGTACATCCACAGACTTCTCAGGATGCAAGAAGGTTAAGGTGGAAGATGGAGACTCCAGTAAGTTCAAGATAAAGCTTTCAACATGCAAACTATTCTGTTTATCATAACAGTCTGTATATGCACCACTTCACAAATATAGGCGCTGTTCCATGGGCACAGATGCATCGAAGGATCCTTTGTGGACTCTCACCCCTGCCACATTCCACATTCACTTTCAGTTAAATTAACTGCAGAGTCCAAGTTTGAAAAATAGGGAGCATGACTTTAACCCAGGAATTCTCCAGGAGATTTTTATCTTTGGTATTTTGCAGCTACACAAGTCAACATACAAAGCTGCCTTTACAAACCTAGGGTCTGACCCAAAACCTACCAAATGCAGGGGCTCCCACTGACTTGAACACACTTTGGATCCAGCCTCTGAGGATTTCAGCTTTTTTTTCTCATTACTGCCATTACAGCTTTTTCAACAGGGAGTGATTACTCTCATAGCTAGTTATCTTGTTCTGGTAATTAATCTTTACTGTTATTTTTTGATATTAGGCTGGGATAATTCACTTATAAATTGGTCTTTCCAAGTGGGACAAAGTCCCTCCCAGGAACATCAGCATTCCCAGCAACCCCCACTTGCTTTTTGCCACGATCTGGTGCTGTGCACATTGCTTCCACATTGAAAATCAAATCTGGAGGCCCAGAACAATGGAAATGCCTCATTACATTGCAGGGATCACCATTATTATTTCTGGGTTTTCCCCTGCACTGAGATAGCCTGATGAGAGCTCGCAGCGCCCCGAGGAGGGTCCAGGATGACTTCCCCCCACTCGGCTCTGGAACCCACTTGCCAAACACAGCTTAAAGCATCTCCAAAGACTTCAACCTGCCAGTAAATAAGAGCAGAGCTTCAGCAAGTGATTCTGATTGCAGAAGATAGGAGCAATAGCCGTAAATTCATTCTGTGTGAAGGTACCAGTCATGAGAATTGCCAGCACTCCCAGTTCTCCATACCCCGGACAGAGATCACACTGTCTGACCAGAAGGCAGATAAACCCGTGCTTTCTAAAAGTCTTCATGCATATATTTACACTTAAATGACAGACATGGACAGATTTCAGTTTACATGGAAAAGCCCATTCACGGTTAATGCGTTAATGATTAAACTCAAGGCTCCACCATCAGTTCTGCAGGGTGACAAGAAGTTCTTGGTATAACTGAGACCAACTGTGACAGCTTCCAGCAACAGCCTGAACACAGCCAGGCTCACATCAGCGCCAGCTTCCACCTGAAGCACACTGGAACAAGCTGATACAGCACAATCTGGGCTCCACTTGGCACTTTAAAAGGCAAAGATAAGGTGAACAGCAGAACCACCAGCCTCACCAAATAGAAAGTAAAGTTGTAAGTTTAATGAGCATTTATGCTTACACAGAGAGACCCCCTCTTTCCTCTGGGAACAGCAAAATACCATGTAATCTGAACTAATCCAAAACAATTAAGAGATTACTCTGCCTGAGAACAATGCTACAGGCAGCTACTGCAGGAGGGGCTGATGCTTGGAGCTCACAGCCCAACCCCAGCTGCCAGGAACATCCCATGCCCACATCCCCAGCACGACCAGCAGCAGGGGGGTCCCCTGTACCCCCAGAACAAGCCCCAGAGCAGTGGGGACTCAGGGGCCAGCAGTCACCCCAAAACCCCCCCAAGCAGTAGGCTCACCCTACCAACAGTCAGAGCTTTGTGTTTAGGCAACAGCAAAAACCCAACACATTTCTCATACGTCACAGGCAACAGATCAGGCATCACTCAAATGTTCCAAGTTGTTTAATTTACAGCTCAAGGACAGGAAAAGTGTTCTCAGATGTGCTATAGGGGATTAAAGGCAGTTATGTGGAAATCATTACCCTGCACTTACACCACTTTGTTCTCTTGATGGCATCTAGGACAATCCCAAGAAAAATAACTTGACCTAGGTTAGTGCAAGGCCTTCCACACAGGGCTTCGTAGGAAATGGACCCATAAACAGGACATCACTTAAAAAACCCGAAGCTGTATACATCTTTTATCCCACCATTTGCTTTCTACAAGTCTCAGTCATTCTCAAAGATTACTTGCACATGCTCACATATTTTACCAGAATGTTTTTTCACCTGGTAGTGATCTGCAAGTCTCACTCTCAACATTGGTAGAGCTGCTCCCGTGTCTTACCAAATTTCTTATTTCTCCCTCCCCTAAAAACATGTATCACTTGGGGAAGTGCCAACCTGGATCCAGGTCACTCCTGTCACCATGCAGCTGCAAAACCACCATGTTGCTATATTTCAGCCCCTTTCTTTGGGGGGTGACTCCAGGGTCCTGCCCATCTCCTGACTGCTCTTCACCTCCCATCGCGGCACATCACTGTGCTCACAGCCAATTGTTACCACTGATTTGGCCATTACCCTTCTAGAAGCTGAGCTCGGTCTAGAAGCAGCTACAGCCAAACTTCCCAGGCTTATGAACCTCACCCCAATAACCAGGAGGTGTTGGATCCATCCTCTGCAGGGCAGCTGAGCTCTGCTCAGCACCCCAAAGGACACAGCTCCTTCAGTCAATGGGAAGAAGCTGGAGGATTTCTCCTCGTTCATTCCTCTCAGCTGAAACCATTGTGTATTGCTCTGGAAAGCTGCCGGGTTTCCTCTCTATTAGCCTTCAAGGAGCTCCAGAGGGGAAGCTGTGATTCACTTTTTCAGTTGTACTTTTACTGGAAACTTGAGAACATACATTGTCATCCTTCCCATCTTCCAGCAGCTTGCCTGTGCTGCTTACAGCTAACAGACCCCAGTAAAATCCCCAGGAACTGGGGGAGATGGGAGGAACATCAGCTACGTGAGGTTCCAGGTACTCTTGGGGCTACAAGTCCAGCAGATTCATTACTGGGCTTTCTTACACAAACTTTCAGAGAAACTCCTTCTTTTTATATAGAACAGGGATAGATAATCTTATCCAATTCTCCAAGCAGACTCAGCAGTGGCATACACAGCAAACCAAGGAGGAAGAAACTGCTTCCAGGACTTAGTTTAAATAGAAGGAACCAAAGCTGAACCTTTGAGGATTTATTCTTTGACACCACAGTCAACTCAACCACTCTGTGGTTCTTGGCTGCACCTGGGGCCAGGCAGATGCTCCCAGTTGTCCAGTATGCACCTGGCCCTGTGCACAACAGCCCCAGGGCTGTCACCAAAAGAAAGGGCTGGAATCGGATTGGACTGGAAATCATAAAAGTGTGAAAGTTGAAAAAGCCTCTTAGACCATCAAGCCCCAGTGCTGCCCCAGCATTGCCAAGCCCACCACTAAACCATGTCCCCAAGTGCCACACCCACATGTCTTTTAAATCCCTTCAGGGATACGAGGTCCCTGGGCTTGAAAACCCTTTCAGCAAAGAAATTTTCCCTAACAGCCAATTGCAACCTCCCCTGGCACAACACACTAACACACTTCTTGCCTCTTAAGGAATTTGTTGTGTAACTTGGAAGCAACTTCACAGTGAATAAAAAGAACAAGTTTTATACCAGGTGTTTGTGAGTAATAGTTCATGGGGCTGCTCAACACCCCGGATCTTTCTCCAACCAGCTGCCACGTAACTGGCCTGACCCCTCCTGCACTAAGGCAGGCAAAGTACGTCCTGTGCTACCTTGGCTTGAGATTCAACAGCTGGGAAGATGATGATGGAACAGCTGCCTAGTTTATCACCAGAGCAGCCTGAACCATCCCACTGAATCTTAATCAGCACCATCACTGCCTTCCCCACAGCCTCACTGAGACCATGAGAACTCCTGGCCTCCCATTCCAGAGCCATTAACCACAGCCTGAACATCCAGCCCTTGTTCCAGGAGTGCCCACACCAAGTAATTCCTCACATCTTACATCAGTGCCCACATAGGCATCAGTTACATAAATCAACTCCTTTTGTAAACCAATGAGGATTTTCAATCACTTTGTTTCAGAACAGTAAGGCCACTGTGCTGCTTTGCCTTTCACCGTCCAAAGACAGACTTGCACATGTTGGGGAAAAGCAGGATCCAAAAAATCCAGGGACAAAACACCCACTAACTTCAGGGAGGTCAGGGGTCTGGCCAAGAAAGGAGGTAGAAAATGGAGGGTATGAAGAAGGAAGTAAAACCCCCCCAAGAGATTTGTCCTTGATAAAGGACAAAGAGATTAAAAAAAAAAAAAAGGAAATATCTTCTAGTCCAGCCTGAGAGCAGGGGCAGCTTCACAGATACCAACAATGACTGTGGGCTCCAGGGGCACAGGAGAGCCATGAAGCCCAACATGCTTAAAAACCTGTGACATCCCCTTGCCAGCAGTTTTCCCAATGTGGGCACAGGGCCAGTTTCTTCAGGAAAGCTGCAGCACAAGCCTTCATCCTCTCTGGCAGATGACAAAAGGTTCAGAAGAAGCAGTGGGGCTCGCCCTGGCCCTCTGGCACAGCTGGGCAGGTCTGGACAGTGCTGCCAAGGGTTTCCTGGCAGTCTGTGTCAGCAGGAACGGAGATGCCATGAGGTCTCCCATCCCACACCCAAGGTACTTTCAAGTGATTTCAACAAAACACAGCTCCAACCCAATTTTATGGCTGCCTTTATTTGATGCATGATACTTGGTCTTGGTCAGGCCACTCAGTAACTCCCACTTCTTGTTTTCCCCACATTCTGACTTTCCTACTGAACTTCCTAGTCCAAGGGCATTTACTGACCAGAGTCTGAAAACAAAACCCGTCTTGTTCTCTAGCTCAGTAACACATAATGTCAAGGGTTGATGGAGAAAGGGCACAGAATGAAGCAGTCCAGAGGGCACCATGGGGATGGAAACACTGCACACTGCACAGCTTCCTTTCCTCCCCTTCACACTCCTGCCTGGCTGGAGGAAGCCTGCTTTGATAAAACAGTTCCTCACTAAAGACATGCAACAAACAGACTTCTTATTTCAAATGTATTTCAGAAAAACACATTTAAAAAGAAATCTTTTGTGTTGGCTTGCAAAAGGCAGTGTACAGAAAAGATGTTGCTTGAACAGCAACCTCTGCCAAAGGAAAAGATACTAATCCACACCACCACAGGCAGGGCTTTCTTGAAGCTCAGCCTCAGAGCAGGGTCCAGGGTGTTGATGCAGAGCTGTGACAAACAGCAGTGCCTGGACATGCACACAAACCAACAAAACCCCTCATTATTGCCCCAGGACACGGCTCTCTGAGCAGGACCAGGTCACCCTATGTTCTAGGAGGCAAATCTTGGAGGAGGGATCCACTCACACCTAGGAGGGAATGCCAGATGTGCTTCCAGCAATGACTAACAGCTGGGCAACAGGATCCAACAGGTCACTTGGCAGACAGGACAGAAATCCAAGAACTAAGTCACTGTGCACCCACTTTGGGCCAAACTAAAAATAGACCTAATAGCTCATCACTGGAGCTGCTGTCCCTACTGCAGAAAAAACCCAAATACTCAGTTTTTCCTGTCAAGAGAAATGCCACCCTCACAGACATCTCTGGGCACAGCCAAGGTGAGTTCTGCCCTTGGAGAAGCCACTAAACAGTGTTACCTCCAAGGGGAGTCACCCCAAGCTGAACAGCTCCTCACTTCACCATCTGCTCCTGCCTTGCAGAGCCCTGAGCATTTATTTTTGCCTATGAGATACAAAAGTCTTTAAAATCTGTGTTTATGAAGACTTTAAGGCCTGACAAAACCATTGCAATCCTACTGCTTGGCAAAGACCAAATATGCCACCTACAAACCCTGCACCACAGAAAGGCTGTGGGCCACCACCAGCAACATCTGTTAGAAAATTCACCTCCTCTGGACACACCACAAGGTCTCACTGCTAAAAATATCCACACCTTGCTAGGTACAGTTGGGAAAAAACAACCTGAAGCCACAGACCCTCCACACAGCACCTTCCAGATCACCCTGAGGTCATGAATGACCATGGAAAGGGAAACCAAGCAGCCAGATCCCCCCTAGCCCCAGCAAGGCACATACCAACACTGCTGTGAGACCACTGTGACCGCAACCTCTGCCCTGTGCAGGAACCACCACTTAGGAGAGGAGATGCACCTGCACAGAGATATTTAAGGGTCCAGTCTGAGCCAAAAAAACCACCAGTTGATATCAGGGGCTAAAATGAAGTGTAAAGGTGGGAATTCAGTCCATCAATTCACACAGCAGAAACCCTTATCCATGAGAATAATCACTGCCATGCTGCAGGTGAAAGGTGCTTTCAGCAGAACGTGGTTCTAACTCCCAGTGAAGCTGCTCTGCTACCAGACCACCCCAGCAGCTGGTGGCTCACCAAAACCTCCTGCCACTATGGATTTTCACCTTTTTCAAGGAGAGCTCCAGTAGCCTGCAGGCAGTCAGGAAGAGAACCCTGATCCTACCCTGTGCACAGGTCCTCTTGGGGGTAGAAAATCACCTAGTCTCCCTAAAACTGCTCCAGATGGAAAGCAGAACAACTGCACTCCTTGGCTATGGGAAATCCCACCTGTGTGAAGGGGTTTTGCTTGCTTTCCTTTTCTTTCTTTTGTAATACCAAAGCCACATCATCTGTACACCATGGGATGAGTTCAGGGGACTTGGCTTTAGCCAGGCAGCTCAGAGATGCCTGTCTGAGGAACCATGAGGAACCACTGAGGGTTTGCTCCATTTATGGCAGTGCTCCTTCCCCACTGCCCAGGCATCCAGTAAGAACTACATGGTTTTCCAAGAAAAGTATAAACAGTAAATGATAGCTCTTTATATCAGGAAATGCCTCTTTAATCTGAAGTGGAAAACTATATTCACTTATTTAAACTTATGCCAGATAGTATTAGCCATTTGTGAACCTTATAAGGAGCGCTCATTTTGCTTGGGTAATTTGTGATTTTGCTATAAAATTAATTCCAATAGAAACCAAAAAAAGACCAAGAAAATGAAACCAAACAAAACCACCCCACAAATAAACAAAAAAGCCACAACACACACACAAAACACACCCCAACTAAAAAAAAAAAAAAAAAAAAAAAAAACTAAACAAAAAATAAACCCCAATACCAAACTCATGCCTCCATTTTGCTTTGAAATACCCTAAAAAGTGAATTTGGCAGGATCTCCAATTTTTTTTTTTTTTTTATTGAACAGATGCTTAAAATGATGGGTGGATGTCAATGAAGTGGAAAGGTTTGTCCAAAGGACATTTTGATTCCCATGCTACTCTTGCTTGAGCTGACACAACCACAAAGACTCAACTCAGGCCACAGCCTGGACAAGCCTTACAAGGTACAAATGATAATTCACATGTAAAAATGAACTGAACCCACTTTTTCTACCAGTGAATCATTAAAAATCATTTTGTTTTACTGTCTTTGAAAACACAGGACAATTACCCAGACCATGGGGATGCTCCAAGAACCCAGCCTGAGAGCACATCTGCTCCAGGGCCAGCCAAAAGTCCTCTGAGCAAAACTGAGACAGGAGCACATCAGAGAGAACCAACCTGTTCACAGAGAGCAGCAGCTGATCCACACATGCTTTGATCTTGTTTTGAGCTTCTAGATGTGTCATGTTGTCCGTGCTCTCTCCATTAATTGCCAGAATAACATCTCCTGGGCACAAGTCTGCCATGGCTGCTTTACTGCCAGGGTTAATCTGGGAAAAAAAGAAAAAAAAGGTTAGTTAAAAGAATGCTGGGTTTTTTTAAAAAGAAGTCCAGTTTCTTGGTATAAGATGCAGGTAAAGGGAACAGTTATTTCTGGAGATGATGTATTTTCTCTACACCAATGTCACCCACCCGAGGCTGGATGTCAGAGCTCTCAGGCAAGCCCCAGGTCTCCAAGGGCCATCACCTACAACAACATTATTTGAAATAAGGAATTTCAGTCAACTCCAGCCACTGTGTGACCAGGTCCCATCTTCACATTTGTCTCTTGCTTGAAATAAATGTAATACACTCTTTCCAGGGAGATGCTTCAGACTCCTTAGGTTTGCAGACCTTTCATGATGCTGCAAGAGTCAGTCCCTAAGCAGCACATGAAACCCTCCTCTGGTTAACCACCACCCCCCTGACTGGGGGAGAGGTCACATTTGCCTTCACTTCTTCTGGACTGACATCCAAATGACTTGTCTCTTTCTAGCCCTGCGTGGTCACCAACCCCAGAGGGATTTAGCAGATATGGCACTTGGGAACAAGGTTTATTGGTAGCCTTGGCAGTGGTGAGGTAACAGCTGGAACTGAGGATCTTTATGATCATTTCCATCCTAAACGATTCCATGATTTTATTCTATAAATATCACATAGCTCTTTAAGCCTCCACAATTCTTTCCTTCTGGTTTTGTCAGAGAGCCAGAACCTTATAAAACTTCTAACTTCTTTCCTGAGGAACTAATGACAGGTCCAGGTACAGTTTGTGGTCAGCAACACAAGCAATCCTATAGCCCATAAAAGAGGTTCTTGAGAAATTACCATTTCATTTACATCACCCTAAATGTGGTTTTAATTTTTACAGTAATACAGAATGACACAAGGCGTATTCAGAACAGGTAAACGTGTCTGGTTAAACCCTATGCTATGTGTTTTCCCTCTAATTTCCTCTTCAGTCTATTCACAGAATCTGCTAACCAAACACATTTTATCAACCGAGAAGTTACGGCAAGCCTGACTTTTGGTTATTCATGTGTCACTGCATTAAAGCAAGCTGGTGCTTTGGTTCTGTTTACTCTCGATTTACACAGATGGAATTCCCTGTCTTAGGTGGTGGGTCTCTGCCCTACCCTGCTTGAGAAATCCAGACAACAGGAGCACCGCTCTCCCCACCACCTCCCCTTGGCTTACAGCGGTGCGTGACAGCAACCAGGCACACCAGGTGTAGTTTTTCAGACAGTGAGACAGTTCCCCCATGCCCAGAAGCCCCCCTACCACAGGCCATCATGAAATAGGTGGTTTTTCAGAAAGGGGGCATGCACATGCACCTCCCAGCTTTCATCTTGATTTCATACAATCCTACAATGGCTTGTAGGATTAAAGATCACCTTAATGATCACCTTGTTCCAACACAGTAGCACATTCTACCCAGGTTGCTCCAAGCCCCATCCAACCTGGCTTTCAACACTTCCAGGGACAATTTGTTTTATTTTTGCAGGGAATTCAAAGAGGATTTAGTCTCACCACAACAGCCCCTGTGGATTGCACTAGAGCTCTCCCTGGTGAGAAGCAGACAGTCCCAGTGCCTGCTGCACTGCTCCCTGCAGGACCACAGCTACTGGCACCACTGAAACACGAACCTGAAGGTGTTTGAGGAGCTCCAAACCACTTCTGACAGTTAAGTAGAACTGGCAGCCTAAGTTACAGCTTTTGTTGCATTGTCAGAGTAAATCAGTATTTGCAGTTTGCCCTTCAATAGTTTCAGCTGGGCTGTTTGGCTCTAACAAACCCGCCCAGACCAACAGCTCAGGGGCTGCCCCGTGACTCAGTGCAGAGCAAACAACAGGAGATGGCTTTCAGTTCCACACACATTAGCTCTGGCACAGGACATTTCAAGCCAGGACAGGATTATTTTTCCTCTGGCATTGTTAGTGGTTTTTTGACCCCTGTATCCATTCACAGGGCATTAGGGTCCTTTTACAGCCACAGAAGCTGCCAGACTCATCAGAAAGTCAACCTAAAGCTCAAACAGCAACTCCAAGGAAGCACCTCCATGCTCTTGCCTGCTGTTATCTGCTTCCCTCAATATCCATCCCACAGCCCTGGCTGCCAGCAGGCTTTTAGACTAACAGACCTTCAGCTTGACCCAGGACAGCTGTATTTTCTTCTTGTCTATTCAGTGCTGTCTAGATGTCTGATGGATTTTTTCCCCGTGTACTGATCTTAACTACGTTGTAGCTTCCTTGAAGAATAAGTTGTTCACAAATGGGACTCCTAGCTGTTTCCTATTTAAGCTTCTGCTTTATTTCAAATTATTTTGGCAGTATTTTCATATTAGCATTTTATGCTAGCTGTGGAGATGGCCGAGGGCTTGAAATGGAGCTGCACTCCAAGAATTCATTTGAGATACAGCATCGGTGTCTCACAGCTTGGGAATCATTATTGTAATGTCTGTCAGGCCCAAAGTTTGTATTTTAGTGAATAATATTTAAAACACTGTAGACCAAGTTCTCCTAACCCACAGCTGTGCAAAGCCATTGATACCAAACACTCCACAGGAAGCCCGACGAGTCTGGTTATGGGTCAGTGCTGTGCCTGAATCCTAGTGCAAGAGTTCTACCTGCTTTGGACATGGCTTAGTGGTGACCTCAGCAGTGCTGGGTTAACAGCTGCACTTGATGGGCCTAAAAATCCTTTCCCATGAAGCATTTTGTGATTGTATGGCACTGGAGCCTGGCAGTCACAGAGGTGTTGGGATGGAGCTTGTATCAGAGGCACTCACTTGTGCCTCTCTCCAGAGAGCCCTCAGGTCTGCCCTGAGCCAGAACCACAGTGTGTGTGACTTGAAGGAAGCACACATGAATCTGAGAGTAATCAGACAGGTTATGAAGTTAAAAACAATGCAAAGAAAACCTGCACCAAGTCACTGCAGCCTTGTGGTCTCGAAAGGGGCCTCCAAAGGAGGTGGTGTTTGATAACAGGAGAGGATTAAGAAAAACTGGCAAGATTTTATTTGGTTTTGAAGTTCTCCATCTGTGGCAAAAACACACCATTTCAAAAATCAATGCTGAATGAGCACAGACCAAGCCCAGACCGATGGATACATCACTCAGGGGGTGTGAGCTATGTAGCCACCACAGGCAGCAGAGAGTGCCCTAAAGCCAAGTCCCAGCTCATGCACCAGGGCCCAACGTGGGTTATGTGCCCTGGCACCTGCTGCACCCTGAGTGCCACGCCTCACCTTGCCGGGCTAGCTGCCTGCCAGGATTTGGGCTGCTGGTGTCCTTTACTGTAACAGGCAGGGCAGTTACACACCAGCAAGGAGCCAGCCCTATCCCTCACACCCTGCTAAGCCCCAGGGCAGCAGGGCCCCACCACGTGTTGGTGTTCCAGGTGGGGAATTCTGTGGGTCGATGGGGTGGTCTAAGCACTCATACCATCAGCAGCTCAGGGGGTCTTGCTCCCTGTGAGGCTATGTAGCTCCCAAAGGCCCCTGCAAAACCCCCAAAACCACAGCAAACACCATGGGCTTAAAGAAACATAAGTATTTGCATTGCAATTCCCCTAAAAGTTTTTATTTTTCAATCAGACAAGAATCCTGCCTCCTGTGGAAGCTCTGAGCTCCCAAAGACATAACTTCACGAAGCACTGAGGTGAACTCCCAGCCATCAGCTAACTCACACTCTGGGTTGCTGCTGTCCTGCATGCAAAAGTATGTTCCCAACAACATAAATCCAAAGCCAGCTAATGGAGACTTGGAGTGAAGTTGCCCAACACAGACAAACCAGACCTGCAGAAAGGGCAGAGGACCATCTCTCCGTATCTTCCTGCTCCAGGAGTACCACCCAGCCTCTTCCTGTGTGCCATCCCTGGTGCTCAGCAGGTTCTGAGGCACAGCCTGGGATGCAATCCAGAAGAGCTGAATGTTTCATAGAATCACAGAATGGTTTGGGTTGGAAGGACTCTAAAGGTCATCTTGCTCCAACACCTTGCCATGGGCAGGGACACCTTCCACTAGACCATGCTGCTCCAAACCGCATCCCACCTGGTCTTGAACACTTCCAGGGATGGAACAGCCACAGCTCTGGGGAACCTATGCCAATGCCTCACCATGCTCGCAGAAATAATTTCTTCCTCATATCTAATCTAAATCTTTCTTACTTCAACTTAAGGCAAATTCCCCCAAGTTTTCTGTGAGTGAATCAAAGCAACTCAGAGGGATGGGTCCAATGGAATGGATCTGTCATCAGGGACATGGCAGGGCTGGAGTGAGCTCTTCGTGAGACGGCTAGGCAGATCCCAGTGCTACCCACCACCTAAGCACTGCTACATTTTCAGCAGGAAGGAACCAAGCATGAAATATGTGCAGAACCAGTTCATGTGCTGGGGAGGTCCCTGGCACTTGTGTTTTCACAGCTCCTTTTATGCCCATAGAAGCTCTGCTGTGCTCTCTGCCCAAGGCAGCCGTGCACGCACAGCACGGCCGCCGCTCTGAGAACGCGGTGTGCACGCCTGCCAGCTTTACTGCTCTCCCAAAATTAAATAAAGAACAATCCTCTGAGCTTAACCCCTCCACAAAAACAAGCAGCTGCTTCCTCGCTTCTCTCTGTCAAAACATGAAGATGCTTCAGAAAGCTTACAAACAGAGAAGACTAAAGAAACAAACCACTTGTCCAGCAATGATACTGTGGAGCAGAGCACGTGCCCCAGGTAAGCAGCTCCAGGCTCTCCAGATCCCAGAGAGCAGCCCTTCCCCACACAGCATGCCTGTGGAGGGTGCGTCCTGCAGGGATTTGTTCCTCTAGGGAGCCAGAATGTACTTTCCCCCCTTTTCTAATAAGAATATTATTCTTCCTAATCCCCTCAGGATAAGTCTCATTTGTGACATCTTTCTATGTCCTCCATATAGCATTGTGCTTCAAAAAATACCAGAGGTCCAATATTGGTGTCTGTCTCAACCCCCTCTATTGTTCCAGTAAGAAAAAGACAAATTTAAAGAAAGAGCTGC